GATAACAATTATCCAGACAAGTTCATCAGGAGACATAAGGTAGTCAGAACACCAAGACCCATTCTACAACTCGCCCCCTAAGAAAGACGTGTACATCAAGCTACCCTATATGGGGCATCATAGCAGCTTGATAACTAGACAAAGACTGAACGCTGCTGTTAAAAAGAATTTTTATGCAGCTAATATGATAATAATAGAGAATGTAAAGCCATTATATCTATTTAAGCCCTTCGAACATGAGAAAATGACGTCTCATCCCACTGTATTTACCAATTTGAATGTACGTGTGGACACACATACATAGGGAGGACTCATCCATCTCTGTAAGCAAGGGCTTCAGAGCATATTTCTAAATGGTTCCAGAAAAAAATGGAATCTTCAGAACCTATTACTGGTGAGAACAAGAGACCTAGCTCTTCTATTGCGAAACATATTATAGAGACAGGACAAAAATGGACGTTAACAGATGTTTAGAGGTTGACGGATATCTCGTTCAGCAACTTCTAATTAATTTATTCTCACGTACCAAAGACAAAGCAAAAGCCAATATTTGATCGTCCAAACTACGTGATATATTTAGGGACCAAAACAAACCGTCAGACGAACGCTTAGCTGGCTAGTGATCGTGCACGTGACACGACGGGGTACCAAATGGCGGGGATGCTTGACCGGAAGCCTTCAGCTAAACAAGTCGACTTAAACAGTGGTGGTCAGCATCCAATGAGTGATTGCTGTGGTCAATAATTTTGGGGAATTATTTACCGCTACAGCTCACTCCCCCCTAGTGGGGTCGTGAGGACCCTAAGACAGAACCAGCCGGAAGTAAAAAAAACTCGATGGTTCCCTTTCGGGTGAAAAAAATCTTCCGAGCGGCTTGGTCGTATGCCTACTGGTTTGTCTGCCTATGCTAATAGGGTGTTTGTACATAGCTTCCTTGTTGTTGTTCGTTGGATTCCGTGCTTCGTTTGTTTCCTGTCCAGTGCCCGTCGCACCTGGAAAAGAAAACAAGAACGCTAAGAACCATGTCGAGGAAAATGTACCAAATGAGCTTTTTGGTTAAAAAAAATTATGTGCATTTACTATACAGTAAAATAATGCTAAGTTCAGAACATCGAAAAAAAATACATCTAATTAATTTTTTTGTGTATGTTACATGAACTGTTGAAAAAAAATTTTGTGTTCGGTGGTACTGTATATAAAAAAAATTGATACGTCAAAAAAAATAGTCAGTACCACAAACGAATGAGTTGCGTGAATCACACGACTTCGTTAAGTCAAATAAGTGTGCAGATATTCTGGGAACCTTACGGTGCGTCCAGAACGGGTTTTCTTGGGAGGCTCGATAGAAGGTTCGGTAGCTGTCGCTGTGCTAGTGACTTCATCGATGTCTAAACGATCTTCTGTTACTTGTGGATTATGGGGTACGTTCAGCTCTATGCTAATAGGATTACCCTCCAAGTAAGCCGGTTTCAGTATAGCCTCGACCTTAGTAGCCAGTGGGCGAATGCCCTTGCAGTCAATAGTGTGACCCAGGAAAGTCGAGTGAGTCAACACCGATTTGACACTTTTGAATATTGATGGTAACACCATGTTGGCGTAACCTGTCAAATGCCAAGTCCAAGTGCCTAAGGTGAGTTTCCTTGTCTGGACTGGCAATGAGGCAGTCGTCTAAGTATGCGTATACAAAGTCGAGACCGCGAAATACTTCGTCAATGAAGCGTTGGAATGTTTGGGCTGCATTCCGGAGACCGAATGGCATACGTAGAAATTCAAAAAGTCCGAAAGGCGTAATGATAGCCGTTTTCGGGATATCTTCTGTTGCCATCGGGATTTGGTTATACGCTTTAACCAAGTCGATTTTGGAGAATATAGTCGCGCCGGATAAGGTTGCCGTCAAGTCGTGTATATGAGGCAACGGGTAGCAATCAGGGGTTGTTTTGGCATTCACTCTCCGGTAATCACCGGTGGGTCGCCAATCATTGCTATCCTTTTTCGGAACCATATGAAGTGGGGATGCCCATGGGCTATTCGAAGGTCGAATGATGCCAAGGGTAAGCATATGGTCAAATTCATTCCTGGCGATTCTCAGTTTGTCAGGAGCTAATCGTCGTGCTTTAGATGTCACAGGTTGTCCTGTGGTAATGATGTGGTGCATAACATTGCTGGTTATGCACGGTAGGTCGTTCGACGGGCAGTTAAGTTCCGGATACTTGTCAACATAGGTTGAAAAGTTGGATCAAGGATTGCCTTTATCTTAACGGGTGACAAACTAGGGCCTATGTAGCTGATGCCTTTGATAGACAGACTAGTAGTATTGTCAATCAGTCGTTTTCGGCGGACGTCTACGAGTAAATCATGATGATTAAGTAGGTCCGTGCCAATGATGGGCATTGTAACGTCAGCGAGAAGGAAAATCCATCGAATAGGTTTGCGTAAACCTACGTTCAGATAGACGTATTTCCTACCAAAGGTTGCGATTGGTTTTCCATTTGCAGCCTGTAAGTTGAAGGTAGGTTCCTTCTGTCGATCTGCTGCTGTAGCAGGAAGGACGCTGACTTCGGCGCCTGTGTCGACTAAGTATCGAGTCTGGCTTATCACATCATGGATGTAAAGAAGGCGGCTAGTGCCACCGGCGACGGTTGCCGCTAACGCGTGCCGGCGGGATAGTTTCCCACAGACTTTGAGACATTTCCGAAGTTACAAGGCTTACGGCAACACTTCGCTTCTTGGCCATAGGTGTTGTGGTACCAGCACCAGTCAGGGTTTTTCAGTGAACGTGGTTTGGACTTAGATCGACCACGTGAGTTCCTGCGTTGAGGAGATTTAGGACGACGGTCGGAGGATTTAGAATGCATGTTCGACCTAAACATCTGCTGATGGAGTTGCATAACTCTATCATTGCAGGATCCTTACTCGAAGTCTGCTTAGTCATCGAGCATATTTCGGGAACTGACCGTTTAGTTATTTCTAGAATCCTATCTGCAGTAATAGCTAAGTCCTCTATTACAGTACCCTGAAGTGTCACAAGTACGGTCTGTACAGACTGTGGCAGCTTGGTTAAGAAGAGTTCTCTAAACAGTCCTTCGTCGAACTGACTTTGGCCGACGATTTCTTTCATTCTTGTCAGCATGCTCACGGCTGACTGATCTCCTAACTCGATGTTACGAAATAATTCATCTAGACGTTGTCGGTCCGTGAGAACGTTTCTCCTGAGGAGGGATGCTTTGAGCAACTCGTACGAGTTACTTACCTCGGGACTCAACATCTGTGATGTTACGTACTTGCTGAATTCCCGCGGTAGGGCGTGAATAACTGCAAGTAACTGTGAACGTTGATCGGTTATCCCATGCTCACAAAAATCTGCTTCAGCTAGCAGAAACCACGTTTCAGCATTATCTGGCCAGTATGGTACGAGCTGAATGGTTTTAGGAGTTGAGCGGATACGGATGACCTTGGGACTAAGATCACTCATGACGAAAATTATGTCGAATAATATATGGTACAAGAACAAATACAAAATGGAACGAACTCACCGGGGTTATCTGCGGATTTATCGTGGATGAAGTTCGCGGTTGGGCTCACCAGTTTAAAGGGTGACGGATATCTCGTTCAGCAACTTCTAATTAATTTATTCTCGCGTACCAAAGACAAAGCAAAAGCCAATAATTGATCGTCCAAACTACGTGATATATTTAGGACCAAAACAAGCCGTCAGACGAACGCTTAGCTAGCTAGTGATCGTGCACGTGACACGACGGGGTACCAAATGGCGGGGATGCTTGACCGGAAGCCTTCAGCTAAACAAGTCGACTTAAACAGTGGTGGTCAGCATCCAATGAGTGATTGCTGTGGTCAATAATTTTGGGGAATTATTTACCGCTACAGATCTTTTAAACCTATCTATAAAACGTGTTTGGGGCATATGCTAAAGTTTGTGGAAGCACTAGCAATCGGGAAGTTTAAGCCACGTTTATGCATAGAAAAACAATTAGTCATCACATTAAACCTTCCTTGGTATATTTTGTTTTGATACCAGCCAGGGTAGATGTACTATTATCTCTGCTATTTGGTTTGGTGATCTTCATTGTTATTTTGACCTTGAGTATGTCCTTTTAACTTGACCTAAGTCTATTTACTCACCTCTAAACTCTTTATTAATTTCATATATATTCCTATGACAAGTCCATGTGTGATCAGGTTGTTCGAAATGTGTTGCGCAAATACATTACACGATTCAGACAAATTACGTCTTCTTATTGCTGTATTTGGAGTAGTTCTATTGAGATAATGTAAATTATGAACAAAACCCATCAGCTAGTGAATTACGCTCACAGTAGCAATAAACACTTTGTTATATAAATATACTAGAGATTAGTTTCAACTCTGATCAAGAATTGATATCAATTAGAGAATCATTGAAAACCTGGGAGTACTGGACAGTTGTTTCTTACCACTTTGGGACTCATCACCAGTAAGCAGCCACTGGATTTCGAACACAAGACCTTACAGTTACAAGGCAAGTTTGTAGACCATTTGGGCATTGGGACCTGAATCAATAGCCGATGAATACTAACTTCTAATAATTTGTCCCAAACTAATACTAAACAGCTTTGCAGTACTCCGGTGTTGGTTTTCAAAGGTTCTCTAACTCATCTCAATCCGTAATCAAATTTGAAAGACTTTGAATCCTTACAAATAAACTCATGAATACTAGACATTAATTTAATTGCTTTTAACATCATTATTTCTTTATTTCTTATTAGTCAGAAAAATATCCGGCTTAAAACACAGAAATACAAGTTCCATCTTGGAACTGTGGAAATAATATGTCATTTGTACCCATGTAGGTATGTGGAAATTATAATCAACAACAGACGATGGCTAATATTACTGAAAGCAAACTCAACTTTTAATTCTCCTTATACAGTTGACAGAAAGAATGAATAACCGATATATATATATAAAGCAAGGTACACTCCTGGTTCACCTAAAATCAACTAATCCTGATTACCTTAAATAATATTTATGACCTTAAAAACTATGAGGTAATATCATCTCTATACAATTATATTGACTGATTGAATCTTTTGTGTAAATAATGCACAAATCAAATTTCGATTATCAGCCATTTTTGAAAGTGAGTAGTTTCATTTTTTCAAACAAGCAAACAAACAAATCAAACTGAACCAACCATAAAACAGTAAAAATAGTAATAATAATAATACTAACAGTTATTATTATTATTATATGGTGAATAAACAGTGATTGTGCTCATAGTCTTAGAAATAGTGAATAAAACTTTGAAAGGTGGAAACTTTTTGTTCAAAATTCTCTAAGGAAAGAAAATTTTAAAAACTATTTTCCCGAAAACAAATCTCCTAACAAAAAAATTGAATCATAATAATGATAAATGATAAACCGGTAGCCGTTGTAAAATATGTTGAAATGCCTATAGATATGCAACAGGATGCTGTTGATATCTGTTATCAAGGTATAGAAAAATTTACTGAAGAATGTGAAATTGCATCATATCTTAAAAGAGAATTTGATCTTAAATATGGACCTAATTGGCATTGTGTTGTTGGTAAATCATTCGGAAGGTAAGTTATATAATTATTAACTAACTTCACATATATATATATATATATACGTTTCTTTAAATAGACTTCTTACAACTGGCTTGCTACATCTACTTGAATTCTGAAAGGGGATGGTCTGTATTTATTAGGTGTTTATATGCATCCATCTACTCTGATATCTGTGTACAAAGTACTTTAAATATCTTAGCTACATTGTGAAGTATATTTTGTGCACTTGGGAGATGGATTTACAGACAAATCTGTAGAGTGTAAAGTCTTTGACTCATTTTTTTGTTACGTCACTTATCTCTCTATTACAGTTGTCGTGTTTCATACTATGATGTATACGTTACCTAAAAATTCTTCATGACTATTTTTTAAAGTTTGAGCTTTTGATTTTTATGCAGAATTATAAAATAGTCTTGATACCTTCTTAGTTAGTTATACTATTTCTACGAGTCACACGTATTTTTCATGGCTTTCAAAATAGTTAGATGACACTTTATTGATTATTTTATAGAAGTCCAAGACAGTTTTGTCAAAGTGGTATAGATCATTAGTTATCTGAGTGTAGAAGAGTGGAAGTAAGTGTTGCCATGGTAATTACTGGAGGCTCAGCTTGACTAACATGGTGTCTGAGATTATAAGTTCCCTAGTCCTGTTAAGAATAAGTTAAGCTTCAGAAAAATAAGCTTAAGTAAGTCAGACAAACTTCAGGGTCAGACTAGGGTATACTGATTATATCTGCATCCTTTGGTAGCTTCCGAACATAAATACATACTTACTGTAGTCCATAAGTTCCTGCATATATCGATCCCAAGGTAGCGATTGTCTCTGTCGACCAAGAGGTGCTATAGCAATATCTGGTTGTGAAGACAGTATAAAGTATTATACTGGACTAATCATTATGGTCGAATTGGTAAAGCCCTGTAGAAGCTTATAGAGTGTTGCAATCTGAAATGACAACAACTAAAGATCTCTGTCAGGAGCGCTCATGGTCTCGACATTTATTTAACTTCATTAGAGATGTACCAATAGATGTGGCCCTGAGTGACTTTGGTGATTTAGTGAATGACTTGTTACCAAATGACTATGTCGTCGATCTTGAGTATGTAGATGATATAGTCCTTCTAGGTGAAGACGCAACAAAATGCAGAGTCTTTCGGAAAAACTGAGTATGAATCTTAGTTTGTCAGACAAATGTAAGAAGGTACTACAGAAATGGCCTGCAGTGACCTTTAGTTTAAGGATGAGTGCAACGACTGAATACGTTGACCACTATACTTATTTAAACAGTTGCACCGACCTTATTGTACTGGTCTCTGTCAAAATCCTGATGTATATACAAAAGGCTCGTTTATGTCATCTGCTCAAAGCACACGAGACCTTCAACATAGAAAACAATTATCAACATTAAAAACCCCAAATAATGATCGAAGAAAAAAGGGATTGACTTTAAGATAACTTCAATGTACATTTCTTCATAAATCAACATCTGTTTGTGTTGATACTGGCTCAATTCTATCAATCAAATTGGCAACATCGTCATGTAGTTAGATGGCTCATCATCACGGTGTAGTTCAAACTGGTACTAAGTGTTTGGAAGCTAAGTTATTCAGATTCACGACTGACTTCCTGAAGAACTATAGGGGTTACGTCAATTGTGCTCTAGGGAGTAACCAGTGTTATTTTCCCAGTCCTTTGTACCTACACGATATCCTGACAACCGTCTCCTACTTCCTAACTCTTAATAAATAATATCAAAGAAGGACCAGCAATTAATAAGGCTATGTGGAGCTGAGTAACTTCTTTGAAATAAGTACTTGGTAATAAAATTATTCTTTTGATCTTATTTGCTTTGATCAAACAGTGACAAGAAATGTGTGTATTACTACTAAGTAGAATGCTAATTTACATCGGAAACTGTATTGGGGTAAAATTATAATATGGAGTGATAGTTCGTTAATTAATATTGTTAAGTGGGCGCATATAAAAATGTACAGTTGTTCAGAACATAAGATACAGTGTGAATAGACAAGCGGGTGACATAATAAGGTTTTTGCAGTCAACAGAATTCAAGTTTCATTCTGGGTGAGGCCTGAGTTATATTCAATGGTGTGCAAAGAATATGATTACCACGAAATAAACACAAACAAACACCGACAAAGGGGGAACACTGAATGTAAGTAAAGTAAAGGCCGATAGATATCAAGTGTAGTGATAAAATAAAGAAGTTAAATTGGGAACTGTAATAAAAAACTGTAGACATAACAAGCCTGGTGTAGATTAAACAAGATTCACACACAATAAAGGTAATAATGCAGTAAAGTGAGATCATATGAACAAAGCTGGAAAGTCGGATGACTAACGTGATATGATTATGAGCATTAAATTGAGCACAAAACCTCATCAGTAAATATCACTGCATAACACTTCGAGAGTTTATTAAAATTAATTTTATCCACAATGGAGTAAAGTAAACTAGATGAAAAGGAAAAAGAAAGGCATAATATGACATGGAAATAAAGATAATTATGTCCCTGATAACCTCATAGTAGGCCAAGGCAAACAAAGAAAACGAAGGTGCTTCTTTCGCGTACATAGGTCCCGTTCTCTCTTATCAATCTCTATAGCTTCCACCATAGCTAAGAGACGTAATCGTGTGTCTTTAAGCAGATTGTTTGCTACTCGATATACAACAGCGAATGGCTCATCTATTTTGATGTGGTGTTCACTATCTACTAGGTGAGAAGAAATAGCACTATTTATTGATTTGGTTTCACTTTTTCCAAGTCAAACAGGAACATGTTCACGAGCACGTAAAGATAAATTCCTCTGAATTCAACATATCTAACTAGCTCCACATGAGCAGATGAAATCGTGTACACACATTGATGTGGCCATCTTTGGTAATTTATCTTTGGTGGACTGTGTCATTAACAGTCTGGTTGAAAAACTATTGTTTAGTTCTGCTGCAGTGAAAGTTCTTTCAACCAATCTGATCAACCTATGGCTTAATATATATTACTGCGTACATCGCCTTTCAAGCGTATTCTTAAATAAAGCTTTTTCACATTCACCGTGTCACCCTTTATATTCTCGGTTCTTTTAGAAATATACTTCTAAACAAAATTGGTAGCGTCGGTGGCATAGTGAAGGACGCTCGCTGACCATGTAGCTGATCCGGGGTTCGATGACCCGCCAGCGCACTCCTTTTCCTCTCAAAGCCAGTAATAAGACTGGTAAAGAGGGAAGGTTGGGCATGAGACTAGCAATCCCATCCTGTAAAAGTGAATACTGCTACAGAAACTTCAAGCCTTCTAGCTTGAAGCCCTATGTTCCACTTGGAACGTGAAGGAAAAAGAAAATTGGTAGGTTCACCATTTTGCAGCAGGTAGTTTTAAGATTTTCGATTTCATCTTCAACACAATCCCCTGTACGTATACGCATTATTCTATAACAAAGACAACGACCAAATTCCGTTTATATTGTGAGGGTATAAAACTATGGAAATGGATATACTGTCGGTTCCATGCCGCCTATCTGTAGATATTTCGCTTTAACTTGCCCTCTGGCCTTTTGGTAAGAACAACATCGAAAAAAGAAATTCTCTCTTGATGTTCTTCTTCGCAAATAAATTTAATCGATGGATGCACATTACTAATGATTTGTATCAGACGTCGTTTATTCAAATTATTGTCACAAACGACGAATCAGTCGTTTAGTCACCCACTACCCACCCCACCCCAATAAAACTTATATTCTGTTGACTATAAATATATTAGTATATCTCCCATTTGTTGTTCACACTTTATCTTATGTTCTGATTGACTGCACACTTTATATGCGTTCATTTGACAATGTTAAATAACGAACTATCACTCCATGTTATACATGTACTCCAATGCAGTTTCCGATATGACTTGCACATCCCTTAATAGTCATTTGTATTATAATATCCAGGGTTTTATAACTGTAGACTCCGAGAAAGAATTTATCGAAAGCAATAATTATTTCAGAATGTTAATTTATCTGTTAGTTCAGTGATTTTATCACTTCCTCAATCATGCTTGCTTACCATTGGTAGAATATTTTCATTGGCTTTATAGGTTTCCAGACCATAGATATTAAGAATTTCCTGGGATAATTTGAGCGCCTAATCAGATTGAATCATTATAAATTATTTAAAATGATCATAGCGTATTGAAGACAAAATCAAAACAAATTTTCCTGAACGTTCCACTGTGTAAGCCACAGCTTTTTCAGCAGAATTCGGCTGAAGAAACAACAGTTTTTCAACCAGACTGTTAATGACACAGTCCACCAAAGATAAATTACCAAAGATGGCCACATCAATGTGTGTACACGATTTCATCTGCTCATGTGGAGCTAGTTAGATATGTTGAATTCAGAGGAATTTATCTTTACGTGCTCGTGAACATGCTCCTGTTTGACTTGGAAAAAGTGAAACCAAATCAATAAATAGTGCTATTTCTTCTCACCTAGTAGATAGTGAACACCACATCAAAATAGATGAGCCATTCGCTGTTGTATATCGAGTAGCAAACAATCTGCCTAAAGACACACGATTACGTCTCTTAGCTATGGTGGAAGCTATAGAGATTGATAAGAGAGAACGGGACCTATGTACGCGAAAGAAGCACCTTCGTTTTCTTTGTTTGCCTTGGCCTACTATGAGGTTATCAGGGACATAATTATCTTTACTTCCATGTCATATTATGCCTTTCTTTTTCCTTTTCACCTAGTTTACTTCACTCAGCAGAATTCAGCTAAAGAACCTGTAGCATACACATCGAAACGTCCAAAAAATTCTTGTTTCGATTTTCCCTTAAACACGCTGGGATTATTTGAAATAACTTATAATAATATAATTGGTGGCTTATGCAAAGACTATTTATGGATAATGAACTCATACATATTCATTTGCTTTAGAAATATATCGCCTGTCTTTTTATTAAGTTGAAAATACATCCTTAGTATCTTTCTCTTTTACTAATGCTTTTCCTAATAACCGTTAATAGTAATCATATCCCATGAACTAAACTGAAGGGTCTATAAACTAGGACTCATAATGTTGATGAAAAGTTTGTCATAAATTATCCCTATTATTACTGTTGTTCCCTTAGACCCTGAGTAGATGATAGTGCTCCAAAAACACATCTCTCAGTCCTTTTAAGCTGCTTCTATAATTTCATATAAGGTATCATTCTCCCTTACATGATTCCCTTCATATCCTCAAGGAAACACACCCAACTCGTCGTCTCCACTCGAGCCCCTGGTACGTGTTTTCACTCAAAGGTCTTCTCAGCGTAATCTCAATACATCTCCATTTTCTTCTGAATCTTTCTTGGGCAATAGGTTCTTGGTTGTTATGTTTCAAGAGTTTCTTGTTACTAATCCTTTCTGACCAGCTATCCAATCTTCAGTATCGAGACAGCGATGGCAGATGTTGATAAAATTCTGCAGTCCGTTTGAAGTTTAACTGACGAAGTTAAACTTCAAGAACCAGTAAATCCTAATGGAGTGTGACCCATCAATGACTTTGAAACACTCACTGGGAAGCTAGTGAAACCTGGCAAATAATGTTGTCGTCATGAATAAAATATGCTCAATAAAGTGTTATGTTATTAAATCGGATATCTGACAAGTTTCAGGTTAAGCTGAAGTTTAGGCTGAGGAAAGGTTAGTGTTAGGTTAACCTAATAAGGGCATCATTAGGGTTGGTTCGAGTTAGATTAGGGTTAGTTTAGAGATATTTTCAAGTTAGCGTTAGAAGGCCTAAATAATCACATGCAAAGAATGTGGTTAAATTACTCTGCCGACAGTCCAATCTAAAAAGGAGAGGTATTTTCATCATACGTCAGAGAAAGGTATCCTGTGTAACAGTTTCATGCCTATTGGTTAATTACTTTCACGAATATATGTACTTCAAATGCACAAATCTCCTTTAGCCTATTGTTGGTGCGTTCAAGGTCATTTTTCTGGTGGTACCTACTGGGGCTTAAAGTTTAACTTTGCCGTTAAACTTTTTAAACTCCCCTTACATGTTTATAACTTTCAGCTGACTTGTTATTAGGAAATCAAGGATTAGATAAAAGACGATACTTTTTTATCCCTAACTATATAGTAACAAATAAATGTGAATGTTTTACTTCCAGCTGAATATTTACAAATAAAAACAAACCACACTTGACATCCCCAATAAGTTAAGCATTACTGTTCGGATGAATTATCTTATCTCAAAAGATACTGACTCTTGAACAGGTGTTTAGACAGTGTTGGGAAAATGTTCCACTTTCAGTTAAAAAGTTCACATAAGTTGTATGTCAATAGATTACATGTAACCATATTAATACAGCCCTACTGAAGATTATTTCTGAATGACATAACATTTTGCAAAGTACAAGAAGTTTTATATTCTACTGTGGTGAGAGCAGGCCGTGAGAAAATATGAGCAAGGCTGATTCAACAACCAATCACAGCAAAGTTAACGTGGCAAAATATGATTCGCAGATAGAGAACTCTATTTGTCGAGGAATCCCGAAACAACCAATCAGAAGCCTGCGTTTGTCTGCCTAACTTCTGATAAACAACCAATCAGATGACTGCGCTTGTCTACTTGCATAAGCTATAATAATGTATGTGAAATATGTATAAATACGTGTTGATTTTCATAATAAAACGATCTGTTGCCTGGCCCTTGTCTTCTGTTGTTACACTACTAATTCACTTGTATTTTCCAATTAACTGAGGAATTCATAAACCAACATCACATGAAAAGCCGCATAACTAACTAATCTTAATTTGAGACTCTGAAAAAATGAATATGCAGTTTCCTGTAGGTTTTCAAACAATACTGTGGCTGATATCAGTTCGTGAAGAAGTTCATAATTGAGAGTCACTGACGAATACCTAGCAAAGAGGCTATTTCAAGCCCAATTTGTAATCCGTATTCAGTTTTTTGAACTAGATTATCAAAGGGAAACATCATGATAAACTAGTCAAACAATTAAATTTCTCTACATAACCCACCATAATGTTCGAGTTCTCTTTTTTCTAACCAATATTATCGTAGTCACATTCTAATGTGATTGTAACTGTTAGACTAGACTTAAGGTAGACCTTAAAATAACCACACTTACTCAATAAAATTCACCGCTTTATAACCTTAGCAGTACTCTACCTAACGTGTAAGTAATAACGAACGAAATCAAAGTAAGAAGACTTCAGATAGGAAGTGTGTCTGGGATGGAGTTGTATTTCACACAAATGAAATATCGAATTTAATAAATAAAGGTGTTCTACAACTTATCTGCTGCCTTTACTGGTGGTAGGCTTGAAGAGTGTGCTGAATGAAAGCACAACGAGAGAGCTAACTAAGTATGTACAGGAGAGTTACAAATCAAAAGATGAAGTAGTGCCAAAAGTGGGTGATTAACTTGAAACAAAAGTTCAAAGGTTCAATGTAAACTACATGGTAATCTTCACTAAACAATGAATTCAATTTACAACATTTTCTTTGTTTTCTGACATCAGAGCAAATACTGTAAGTACTGTGAATATTATTAAATGTTCATAATCATTTGATCCACCTGGCTATACATACAGTTCATACAAAGTGTAGATTCATTCTGATAAGTGAGAAATCCTAGCTAAGAAATCGTCAGAAGAAGAAATGTCTTTAACTTTGTCCAGTACTTTACTGAATAAGTGTACATTATTTTGTAAATGATGAGTTTTATCAATATATATCAGCTAGAAAAGTAACTGAGAACCAACAAGTACTAAAGTTTCTTCAATATTGTATATCCTACGACCCACTGCAAGACTGAATTCAGGAATACTATGGTGCACTAAGCGTTCACTGATGAACAACTTCAAACATTTACCACAAACGTATTGCACTTCATGCCAATTTTTGGACACAAATCATTTCACTGGAATAGTTTCCTAAAGTTACTTCACTGTATTTTCCCTAGGTATTATTAATTTTACTACATCAACATCATATATATCACAAATGTATTATGACCGGAACTACGAACTAGTAGACTATGAGCCAATACTAACTTAATGCGCTGGCTAATCTGTCCTAATCGCACTTCAACAGCAACAAAAACAATAACACTGATGGGCCGCAAAGACAGAAGAAAAGACTAGACGTTGGTAAGAGAGCTTTTACTGTCTCAGACAACAGTCAAAATAGCTTAAAAGCGCTTGGACACATATACCTTTGACAAGACCTTGAGAAGCACTAATATCATTAATAAATTAAGACAGTGAATAACCAATAGGATTTTAAATGTCATAAGTAGCGTGAGAGAATATTAGGACGCAATCAATAAGTGGAGTGAGAGAAATACAAAAAGACATGTAAAAATGACATGTAGGAAATTAGGTCTGTATATACCAAAATGTTATTTACCTTCGTTTCTTTCCTCTTCTTTCCAGTTACGTCTCACACGAAGAAAACGGTTTCATATTCTTTCATTTAAAAGGACACTGTGCTATGCTATTCAAAGCCAGTTAAAATTTTTTGATCTCCATCTTCGAACGTTTATTTGAACACATATACACACGTACATGTAATTCTTCAAACTTGCACATGTATTGTAGATCATTTTGCCATTTTGTTTCAAATTAACACTTTTTTTCTTCAATAAACATTGTTGTTTACAGAGTATTTGTATTCTGTAGAGTTTAGAAAAACAACACTACTGTCTGAATATATTTAAATCCCTGTGTAAATAATGATAAGTGGTTTGCATTCATTTGCGAAAAACAAAATATCCGTTTTTACATTATAGTTAGCTGTTCGGTCCACTCCGAGCTTATTTACAATAATAATTGAAAAACAAACACGCTTATTCACGGCTTTTAGTGCTACTGTAACGATAGATGACGAAAGACTTTGTAAAGGAATGTTTATTTGCGGTTAGGTATCTCTATATAGGCAAATTATTTACACCTTGTCTTCAACTCACCATTTGGACAGATCTACCGTGTACTAAATCTCGCCTTCACATTGCGTGTGTTTCTTTGTGTTCATTTCACGTCTCTCATGTACTTCCGTAACGCTGTATCATTTGCTTTCTTGGACATGAAATCTATCTCCCTGATATTTGATTATTGTATGCTGATGAACGTCTCTTTATATATATGTATATACTACTCATAAATCTTATCATTAGCACAAGCCGCACTACCACTAGCCAAAGAAACTGGTGAATATTTGTCCTTATACCTGACCAGATGGATCCTGCTGGACATGAGTTCTCACCAGAACCCCAGATAACTCCATCCTTTAGTCAGTTACCAGTGGCTATTGGGTTAAACTTTAAGCGTTAGTTTGTAGGGATTTAATTAGTTTCAAGTTCGATTGCTGATTGATATCAGTTACAGAATCAGGGGAGTGAAAGGAGATGGAGTCCATAGGTCACTAGATTCCATTCCAAATGCTTGAACGGTCAACGACCTCACATCATAACCTGAAGATTTTTTTTTTAGATTTTTAGATTTACAGCTTGATTCCACACTGTATTTTGGTACAAGTATAGAATTTTCAGCATGGATATCGGTAGCCTAAATTTCGCAGGCCGACCACAGATATCAGGTGTGCGCCGGCGTGGGCTCGAACCCCGGACCTTGTGCATGGTCGGCGAGAGTCCTAACCACTGTGCCTCCGACGCACAGGTGAACTAACATCATTTAGTTAATCACTGGAGGTCCCTAAAGGTGAGATCATGGAGGCATACACTTGAAAATTTTCAAACTAAGACAAAATACTGTGCGTCGGTGGCACAGTAGTTCGGACTCTCACGGGTCATGCACATGGTCCGGAGTTCGATCCTCTGCCGACCCACACCTGATACCTATATTCGGCCTGCAAAATTTGGACTACCGATATCACATGCTGAAAATTCCATACCTGTACCAAAAGTACGGTGTGGAATCAAGCTGTAATAAAAAAGAGACGTCCAGGACTCTTTCGTTCTCTAATTGACATCAATTCGTGACCAACCCTTGAGTCAATCAAATCCTTATAGCCTAACGCTTGGAAACAGGCACACTGTTTGATTAGTTACTTTAGCTTACCAAGTAAATGCATTATTCAATAGGTTTCTTGTATTATTGAAGGTAGTGGTCTAGTGTATGCTACTTATAAATAAATATAAGTAGTATATAACGTGAAGAAACACAAAACAACGTTACAGTTCTAAGAAGAATCTAGCAAGTGATACAGAACAAACAGGAAAATCAACCCAGCTATAAATTAGAATTATTGAATCCCTGCGACCTAAAAGGAACATAGCGCATCAATGGCACACCTTCATTGCACTCAATTCTGCACTGTCATGTTCAGCTATCCCCGTGATTTCACACTCCGAATCACAGCCATTTCATCGATTCCCAGTTGGGTTCGATTCCAAGGCCTGTTTGATGTGGGATATCACTTGAAGATCCCTTCAGTGTATGTTCAGTTCATCATCGTTTCCTTCTGCATATATGGTTGCCCAGATAAAGATTGTTGGCTAGTTCGTGGCCAGAGTTCCTTGTTACTCATTCTTTCCTTTTGAGTTCTCACCAGTTGTAAGTGTTAATGAAAGCCTGCGGTTTGCTAGAAATACTTTTGGTGATGAAAGTGCCAGGTCACTGAGCCACGTAGAAGCAATAGCTAGATTGACATCAGTGTAAAGATTTCGAATCTTGTTTTTTGTGCTCTTTGGTTACATGGCTCTCCATACTGATTTCAGATGGATAAATCCGTGTCTTGCTTTTCCGATCTAATCCAATCTGATCCTGGCCAGCTTTCGAACCCTTATCTATACTGCCTGCTTATATTCGAAAGAATAACTCCCAAGTTGGAAAAGCTGAGGAAACAGGTTCCTCTAAATTTCTCCCATTTGTTGCGATTGGTATTTGTAGTTTTCAGTTGATTGGGTATCTTCATCACGTCTGTCTTCGCCATGTTCCTCTGAAGTCCTATCTTCTCTATCACTTCTGTCCATCGGCTAGTTTTCACTTGAATATTTCCGAGTCCATGTGAAATCAGAGATATATTATCCGCGAAGTATATATCTTCTAGGATCTATTTATTGGTCCAACATATGCACATCTCACTCCGCACTATCTGTAGCATGATTCAGTCCACCATAATCAGGAAGATCATCGGTCAAAGAAGGTAGCTCTGAGTTACTCATGTCTTCATATCACACGCTCCTGCAATATTTTCTACGTGAATCATATGACATACAGACTCTTCATATAGCTATTGAATTATCTTTGTAAATTTCTGAAGTACTATGCTGTGTACCGTTGAAGGAGTGGTGAAATTACTTCACAGTCGACTCTATCGAGAGCCTTTTCAAAATCGATTAAATTGTTGTATGAAACTGAGTGCCATTCTACTCTGTATATGATGATGCTGCTTAGTGTTGTATCCCGATTTATGTATGACTTATTTTTTCTTGAATCCAGCCTATTCCTCAGCAAGTTTTCTATCTAGGGCATTCTTTACTGTTTCCAAGATGATGCTTCTTATGATTTTGTTTCCGCTATGATTTTAAAAATATTGATTGTGCAGTTGACAAATGAATATACAGATCGACAATATCACTGACCAGTAAGTAATACTGTATGGGAATAAAATTATGTCATCTTATCCTGCTTAATCTGTTGCTCTTATGTTCTTCAAAACAGCAAATAAGTGCTTGATGGAGCAGTGTATTAGGTTGTACATGCCAATAGTACAACTATGTAGCGCCTGATGTCAATAAAGTATCCAAATGCTCGACACGACACCACTTTTTTCACTTTTAGCTACTTCATTGTAAAATTGTAATCTCAGTCGTTTTGCTTTCATGAGTGCATTTTTCATCAAGTAATTTAATTAACTTGAAACTATTTACACTTACTAGAATTGCTAGTTAATTGAAGTACGTTGGTTCTGTGTGATTACCGTCTCGTCAAAAAAAGTTCAATGTCATCACCTGAATAGTTCTGAGAATTAAGATTTGATCAAATTCTTTTATCCTTTAAGTAATATTTTCAAACAAATGGTTACCAACCAAAGAATATTCTTTCCGATAACTTCATCATCAGTTTCTACAGTTATATATGCATAATAGTCAGTGGATTAGTGTTATTAACAACATTAATGTTGTTTAAATAACATCGATTCAATAATAATATCAATGGATTACAGTTTGACAGCATCAACATCACAGCACACTGAATATCAGAGAAATTAGGAAAAGAATAATACAAATTCATGAATTGATAGTCTCTACTGAAGGCAATGGCAGTAGTAGTGATTGAACTTGCTCCTTACGCACACAAAGCACCGGTTTTTTCATGCAAATCGCGATAGCCTTAGCTGTTTGGAGTATGCGGTACCTGGATTTTATGGCAATTTATCTGGTACCCGGTAGATGATAGAGAAGGATTAGTCAATGTTGACTGGCTTTGTGGCCGGTTTGAGCCACGCGGTCTAATATCGAACTGTTGATGGTTTTTACTGCACCTTTATTAAACCACACTGGTAGATGTTCCCTAGTGAACACGAAAAATCAAGTTCCTAGTTTGTAGACAACTGACCCACTGGGACTTGATCCAATGGCCCATTAGGGTACAGTAGGTTGAAGATGAGGCAGTAACTCACTGAAGAAGACATTGAGAAAAAGTCGCGCTATACCGTGAATTGGCAGAAGTTAGAATTCATGGGCTGGCCACTGGATCGGGTCCCAGTGGCTTAGTGGTCTACGAGCTAGCTCACCTTGTAACCAGAAGGTTCTCGGCTCGAACTCCGGTGGGCATGTACCGTTGAAGAGTCCCAAACTAGACCGACGAAACTGTTGTCCAGTACTCCCGGCTTGTTTTCCAATTGTTCTCTAACTGATGTCAGCTCATGATGAAATTCTCCAACCAATCAAACAAAATCTTAACAAAACCAATGCTTGAAAATCAATCTTGATGTATATTTTCTCTCCTTAAAAAATCTTAGTTTTTAACAGCTCTGCCTGGAATCATAATAGAAATCAAATCTTTGTCTTTTTCTTTCAGCTCTAATCATTATACTATTACTGTGAAATCCAATTAACTTTACTCATATAAGTGAACATATATCATATGACATAATATCACTTTAAGTCAGTCACTCCTCTTTTTTAAGACACATGCACGCACACACACATATACGTACATTGAATTTGTTTTTGCTAACACACCTCTAAAAGTGCTTTATCATTTTTCATCACATTAACAATATACACCTATCTGAAGTAGACTAATAAAGAAGTACAATTGTATAAGTACGTGGGTTTTTTTATATTAAGGAATTGTATTCCGTGAGGAAATAATAGTATGGGATGCCATTAAAATATTTGTGACTGTAGTTATAGTTAAATATCACGGGATATATATTTATATATCCATATATAGTAATGATTTTAATGTCTCAGACAAAGCCATGTTTTCACTAGATGTGACTTCTCCACTTACTATTGTACCTCCGATAGAAAATACTTGCTATATATGAATAATAATAATAATAATATATATATAATATATATAATATATGAAGTTATACTGATGCACATATTTTCAGCATAGGTCTACTGACGACATAATTCAAAGAGCTCTTATTAATCTGAATGCTGAATGTTTAGTTCACTTTCA